TAGCTCAACATTTTGGGAAATGTGCATACATCTTTCACCTCTGCCCATTCAATATGAAGCTGGAGCCAGCAGCCAGCTAGCTTAGCTTAGCATAAAGCCTGGAAACAGGAGGAAACAGCTAGTCTGGTTATGTGTAAAGGTGATAAAATCCGCTTCGGTCACTGATTAACTTGTTATTATCTAATAAACCTTACAAAAACCGAAGTGTAAAAACAGGGGTTTCAACAGGGGTGGGGCTATATCTTATTTCTTTTTTCCGATGAGGTTGTTAAGAAAATACATGATAGTTGAGACTACAACGCTAAAACTAAAAGTTGTGAGTCCCAGTAAACTCAAACCAGTTTCCAGTGAAATAAACTGAGTCTTGTCTGTGACATATTTTTAGAGGTACAATGAAGGCAAAATACGCTCAAGAGTTCCTAAGTTTTTCAAAATATAGTTTCCATGCAGGTCACTGGAAATACACACTTTCTTACCAAAGAGGCCCTCGCTCTTCCATTCATTGCCCTGACCATGAAAGAGTCCATTTAAAGCCTCAGGGGCTGGACATGACCTGAGTTTACTGTCTATGGTGCTTTAGCCTTCCGTCTGTGCCCAGTCAGAGAAAACAGAGGCCATGGGGAGTTGAACAGGACTGTAGAACCCTGTTGAAGGTGCAGATTCTCTAACCCTCTGCAAGGCTACTGTACATATTTTGTTCCATATACAGTGAACTATTATTCAGTATATATCATTTTGTTTCCAGAGAAGTCATACTGTGGCTGATCCTGACAATAATGATCCTGATTAAGTGTTTATATAGTTTTTTTTATTAAAAGTTCATTTAAATTGGTTCATTCTTCAGGTCAAATGCTGCAAACCTAGGAGGGATTTTTTGGGTCGTTTCTTTTTTTATTAGTAAATCCCTCAAACTCACAAACAGGAATGGATGTGTGGAGTTGCCAATTTTTTTCATCTGAGGCTTGAACCTAGCTGGAAAATATTTCTGTGGACAACCTCAGAGAGGAGATGAAAAACTGGAGACACATGAGCAGAATTTTGAATGTTGACCTTATTTCTAAGAAAGCCATTTTGAGCAAACAGGTGGGAAACTGTGTCTGGAAACTTACCATCAATATAAAAGTAGCATCACTTCAACACATACCAAAGAAAGATTATAATGTTGTTTTTCTTCTTGGGTGTTTTTCCTTATTTTTCATTCCATTACTTCCAATTTGGAACAACCAGTTCCCCTGGCATTGTGTCATTGTCACTTCATATTATTTCTCCCAGAGACCACCTCCTGCCCAAATACCTCAACCAACTTTTAGGTTCTGGTACTAAAGTTGTGACTTTTTTTAAATGAACCTGAATTTTTGTTTGACATAATTCATTCATTGTTTATATTGACATTTCTTCTGGGAGAGTTTAATGGAGCCTACATTTAAAGCTGCTTCAATTAATAATTTTACAGTAACACATGATGAAATAACAACATACAATGAGAAGGTTATTACTCATAGTGACAAACCCATGGATAATTATCACCTGATTCTGCAGTTCTGTTTTAGTTCACTCTCAGTGCTCTCATAAGAGTCATTTACAGCTGATCTTCTCATCTAACTGGGTAAATAAGCAAAATCCACATAATCTCGAAGTATCCCATTAGGACGCAATACCACTGATTGCCAGTAGATACGAACTCCAAAACCTTTAGCTGAAAAAGTGATTTCTGTTTTCAGTCATATTTGTTGAGACATATTCAGCTCCTTTTAGCTGGATTAACAGGACTCTCACACTCAGAGATGTTTGTTGCTGCGTATCTGTTCCCCCTCCTTCTTATCCAGGCTCCACCCTTACTTGCCCAAATTTGGCTTTCCTGACGTCAATAACTGTCAAGGTATGAATGAAAAAAACATACATGAATGTCTTCAGAAACCTGGGAGTGATGTCACACATGATACTGTAGGTCCATTTTTTTTCAGTCAATGGAGCAACAGGTTAGTTATAGTGGTTTGCAGGGGTGGTAATAACCCCTCTGAGAAAATGAGCACTATCAACAGACATTTAGGAAAGAAAGTAAATGTATACCTGTGTACACTGTACACTCAAGTGAAAGATAAGTACACCTCACATTCTCACAGATTGCCACTTGAATGGAGGGTGATTTGCATTGTGTGGTAACCTTTCTTCAATGACTCAGTTTGTTTTTCTAATTAATTATCAACAGGCTGCTGATGTTTCCTCTCACTGACTTGAATACGACAGACTCCATAGCCAATTGATGTAAATGTCTCTGCAAATTCAAACATCAACATTCATCACGGTGATTGCTGTGTATTTTGTAATATCTTGCTGACAGGACCAAAGGCCATTTTCTGACTCTCACATGACCTAATCTCGCCTACAGAGGCAGCAACAGCCCTTCACCTGTCTTTACCACTTGTAACTCTGGACTTTTTCAGTTTTTACTCATCTCCTTTCCTCCATTGTCCAATTCCTTTTCTTTGAGCTCTTTTGTTATGTGGGCTGGGACTGGCATTTCATTAAAAATGAGATCTAGTACAGTCACTGGGAGACATGATGTTTGTCATAAAAGTTGTCAAACCCCAAAGTTTTACTGGCAGAAAATATCAGCTATTCCCTTGCCACCACATTCCTGATCAGCATCTCTCTCCCTTTTCCTCTCCCTAAGTGTGATGCATTACGTCGGAAGGAGGAAGGTGGATTGAGTGTCCACTGTTCCTCCCATCACCTGTGAAATTTCAGAGCCAGGCCACGGTGAAAGGGGGTATTGTGTCCCCCTGATGAGGAATGCCCTTGCGTCGTTCCTCAAAGAAAAGGCTTCATTTGGCCAGGAATTTGGAGGCATCTCGAGAAGTGTAGGGGAGATTTTCTCGGGGGTGGGTATGGGAAGCTGAAGGCCTTCATAAGGCTGGACAGGAGACGGACAGGTCTTCCCAAGCTGGTACTTCCTCCCTGTGATTCTAATAGATTAGCATTTGTCTCACAGAAAATCACCTCAGGGCTGGAGGGGGTACATTTTGCATTTCGTGATCCCTACTAATGAACAGTCTAACCTTTTCCACTTCTAATGAAGGTTAATATAGAGGACATTTTTTAATCAGCCTTAAAACATTATACTCTAAGTTAAATTATAACTGTTTGCTTACCAATATATTGTGGCTGAAGGGGGGAAACTGAAAGTAATTTTTAACCTACATACAGTAGTTTGACATATCAGATCCATTACTGGTGCAGCAGCTGTTATTTCACATGATGAGACTGACACCTGCTGGTGATAACTAAACTTTTAGTGTGTTTACTGGCTGTTTACTGGAACACATTACATGGTGCAGACTTTATATTGCTTGATTTCAAAGTGTTCATTATAAATTATATAAAGATTACTAGCATGACTATAAGTTATACTTTCATTAACACCTCTAAAATCTATTAATAATAACCACAAACATCTCTATAATTCCCACTAAAGAGTATGGCGTTTTAGCTTGTGACCACTAGAGAATAATTATCATAATAATGTAAAGGTGAATTCCGTCGGTTTCTGTTTGTTTCAGTTTGTTTCAGTTTGGTCTCTGTATTTCGTAAGTACTCATTATCTGCACTGATGCAAAATATAACCAATTCACTCTGTTGCAGTCTCTGACTGTGGCCACTCGAGTGTAATGAAAACACATGATTCTAAATACGCTCAAATCAACTGTCAACTGTTCCTGGCAAAAATACTTTGTGGCAGCCATGGTGACCATTTTCTTTCCGCCTTCACTGAATTATGTATTTTGCATGATAGCTCCTGAACCAAATATGATAACACAGCAAAGATGATGTCTACGTTTTGATGGACAAGGATTGCAATGATGACATCATAAACTGTTCAGGTGAATAGTGAATTCAGTGATGTTGTGAGAAGGAAATCACAGCATATGAGAGGTTGACAACATATAACCAACATTTGTGGTCCATTACGTGTCAGAGATGGGTGACTTTGGATCTAGCAAGGCCTTCAGATACCTTCCCATGAGATTGCCAAGTCTCAAGATCCTGACAAATTCAAGGCCCTACCTGTGTTCCTTGCCTTCAGTGGCATTGGCACAGTATCTGTATTTGCAAACAGCAGCGAGATGACAGCATGGGATATCTGCAATGTGGATGACATGGCAACATAAGCCTTCGTGGCTCTACCAAAGGCCAAATATGCCATCTCCAACAGACTGGGGTTGCTGGACCCAAGTGATTGTAGATGACTGTGGTCAATTTTTTCACAGGAAAGTCAGTCCACTCTTGAACTCTTGTGGTTGCAAGAAAGGCTGCAAGAATAAACAATGTGTTTCTGAAATTAATTAACTTTTCAAGTAAATCTTAGTGTTAGATGAATTTCTTTTTAAGCAAAGTTTTTAAGGTCATATAGAACATCATTCTACTCTTTGCAGTCACTGTATTGTCAGGGTCAATGAACAAAAGGAATACGCTTGTAAAACTACACAACATTCATGTAACAGACCTGGTAGGATAAGGTCCAGCCTATCAGTTCTCAGATACTGTAATTTCCTTCTCACAATGTCATGGAATTCATGATGATGTATGGTACCATTTTAATCCTTCATCATCAAAGCTTTCTGTGTTATCATATTTAGATCAGGAGATATGGTGTAATAAATAATTCGATTATGCCAGAAATTAAAATGACCGCTATGGCAGCCAATCATGGATCCATGCCACCACAAGCAATGGTTCCATTTCTGGACATGTTCGGGGCCCAAAGTGGCTATCATGGTTTTATGAAAAAGTGAACATTATTTTCACATATTACCTGGATTACAGAATCCAAAATGCAGGATCCGAGTTTCAAAGATGTGGGTTCAGTGATTTTTGGTATAATAATCTAAAACGACCTCCAAAAAATAAAAAAAATAAAACTTTCTCTGCTCCAGTCCAGCAGGTGGCGGTAAAGCTCGTTGATGTTTGTCTCTGTTAGAAGAGGAAGAGGCGGGCGGCAGTGTTTGTTTACCGGCTGCTTCTGCTGCTGCTGTTGGAGGGAGGTATGATATTGAATACATTAATTGAGCTTTTAATCTTTGCTTAAACAGTTATTTGTTTGCTACTATTAGCTGCATATAACGGATTTGCTTTGGCTCAGTCTAGAGCTGGCAACAGACGAATAAAACGGTTAAGACAAGTCATGAATTTACGTGTAGGACTAGCACTGAGCTAAGGCTGGAGCTAGCCTTGTGCAGTTTGCTACGGTTCCTCATTCAAAGAAATGGATATTAAACTCTGCCTCACCTGTCGGAAGACATACAAATCTGATAGATCGTGGCAGGGGCTATTTAAGAAATTACCAGGGCTGGTTGTTTCACTCGGCAGCGTTCGTTTAACAATGGAACAGATTTACCATCCATCTTTACTTTCAATACTAATACTATTAGCATTGCCACATGGTTTATATCGACGACAAACTATGTTAGAAATACATGGCAATGTACAGCATAATAAACACATCTCTGACAGTGTTAAGAACAGTTCACAGTGAGAGTATTTGTTGCTTGACCGTTTCGTAGCATCACATATAGAACTTTAGCCATTGGTCAATTAATCGATTAGTAGATCAATCAGTAGGCTTACCTATTCTGGGTTGAATGAAATGATCATTTCAGGAATTCTCCAAGCAGAAATAGCAAACATTTGTTGCTACAGGTTTCTTAAATATGAGGATTCAGAGATCTTGTTTTCCATATACTGTATGATAGTAAATTTAGTATTTTGAGGCTTTGTACTGTTGGCTGGACAAATTGTGTGGTCACTTATTGTGATGGTTGTTTTTCACCACTTTTTGGCATTTTATAGACTAAATGAAGAACCGTCTATTGCTGAAAATGATCAGCAGATTAATTGGTAGTGAAAATAATTATTAATTGCAACCCTATCTACATTTATATGGGATTCTGTTGTTGGCCATGGTTTTAGACACATTCAAGTGTGAGAGGTAACATTGTCTGCTGCCCCACAGTGAAATGGACAAGAATGAGGACCTGGTCCAAACAAACTGCAGTAAAACACTGCTCATCCGCCACTTACCAGCTGAGCTCAGCCAGGACGAGAAGGAGGACCTCCTGAAGTATTTTGGAGCTGAATCAGTCAGGGTCTTCTCGAGCACAGGTCGTCTGGTACGTTGGGCTTCACTGCCACCTTGTCAGTGTCTTTACATTGTGAAATTCGATGGATTTACTGTCCATTCTGAGGTTTATAACATAATAATTTCACTTTCCACAGAAACATACAGCCTTTGCAACCTTTAGAAGTGAGAAGTCAGCAGCAAATGTGAGTTTTTTTCTACAGTGTATGCAATTAGATAAAGTTTCAGCAAGCCGTGTATGTATAGTCTTTTTGAAAGAAGCTCATTGTAATGTAGACATGATGTCATTTTCCCTTAATCTGCCCTTTATGGTGTTACATCTCCTTCAGGCTCTTACCAGGCTCCATCAGTTGGAGATTCTTGATCATACGCTAGTTGCAGAGTTTGCTAAAGGCCAAGATCATGTGACAGTATTAAAGGATCCACCAGTCTCAGACAGGTACGTTGCTTGAATCATGTGAATTAAGAAACTGTTGATCTGCACAAACTGTAACATCAGATTCATTAGTTTTTCACTTAAATATATGGGCTGTTAAACTCACATAACCCTGTGAGTTGGAGCCAAACATTTGCCCGTATTGTAGTGGTCTGAAATTGTGTTGTTCATAATTAACTGCTTAGCCGTTAACCGACAATAAGAATTAAGCCCGATTAATACTATAAATTAAACAGTTAAAATATCATGGCACATCAGTACCATCTTAGCGGGTATTCACCACTGTAGGTCTTGCAGACTGCGCACCAGAATAACCGCACAGTATGTGGACATGTTTCTGTCCTATGCTGAGGACTGAGGTAGACTAAGCCTGTTTATTTTATTTGAGGTCTGAAAAATGCAACTGCAAGTTTCCATTTTGTTAACCTGTTGGCTGCTTCTGATCATTATCAGCTGAGAGCGGAGGAGGAGGAGGCGGTTCTCGTTACTGTGCTCTCGGCTCTTGAGGATTCAATATGTGTTTTTGTTTTTGTTAATCTGTTTTTGTTCATTAGAAAGTCTGGCTACTATTTGCTATTTATTTATTTATAAGTTGTATAATATTTTCCTACACAGTAGAGGCTATTATGCTGGTTATACACAGCGCTGGAAGATTCAATATGTGTTTTGTTTACAGACACTTGTCTGTTCTAAATAGTACATTTTAATTTTGTCAGTTAACGAGTGTCGGCTATGGGGCGTAAAAAAAATTCGAAATGAGCATCCCTAGTCTGAACATCATGTAAGCACAACAGAGCTCAACAAATTCTCTCTCTTTTTTTACAGTGGTAAACGTGTTAAAGAAGAGAAGAAGAAGCAGGAGACCCAACAGACAAATATTCCTCTCATAGAGACTGGCGTTGCACCAAGCCTTGGGTAAGTGTTGAATATGTCATTATACAGTTTTTGGTATAGATTTGGTTTTGATATTAGTAAATTTTGGTTTATGTTTTTATTTGAACCTAATTTCTCAAATGAGCCGTGAAGCTATCTACGTTTGTTTTGTTTTGTTTTTTGCCTGATAAATCTGTAAGATCACTTCCCACACTCAGTTTGAGAAATTTAGACACTTTTATACATCAGTTATATACAAACAGTGTGTTACTATGTCATTCTCTAGTGCATTACTCTGTAGAAATCTAAATATGTGTTGTCGCCCTGCCTTGTGTGGTAAAAATAGAGGTTAAATTACATTCCACAGTTTGGTAACAAGCGGTTCCCTATGACTCTTGGTGACCACTGGTCTAAGCCATTACCCACTCAAATACTTCCTCATCCTATTAAATATGCACGTGTGACACATACTTTCCAAACCTGGTCAAAGTGTTGTCAGTTTAGTTGTGTAGAGAGGCTGCCTAGAGGCCAGCTGACGGTTAACCTGGATGAGAATCTGAGAGCTGCAGTCAGAATAGTCAACAGCATTGTGTCCAATTAGATGGTCAGGCCGCCACTGATCATCTGACATGCCGTCTGTCCTGCCATTTGGTGGGACCAGGTGGTCTTTGATACCTCTTGCTTCAATACTGACAGTCTAGGCTGCTGCAGATACTGCACCCCACTCTCCCTCCCCTCATATTACAGAGCATCATGTTCTAATGTTATAAAATCTAATGTCCTAATACAATGTTATGTGTGGAAATGTGTTAGTTGGTAAATGATGGCTCAATATTAGAGCCCGTATTATTCTCTTGCTGTGATATGCTGATATGCTGCAGTTTGCTTGATAATGTATTTGTAGCATGGATCTATACTGAACTGATTATTTATGTGAAGCTCTTAATGTGAATAAATGCAGATGAAATATCCTGTTTGGGATTCATATAGGTGTATGCAAATAATTATTTTGTTCTATTTATGGTGTATTGCAGTTGAGAATTCTGCTGAAATACTGCAGCGATGTCGATTTCGATGGAATTGAACAAAAAAAGAAATGACGCGGTGTAATTGTAACACTGTTGCTGATGAGCTCCAGAACTCATTGCATTAATGTATCAGTTATAAATTACGCAGACTTCACTCCATTGATCTGCAAGAGAAAATCTTTGGCCTCTGAAAGAAAAAAAGGGATTTCTTGTTTCAATCTGCAGTGTGTAAACTTTGAAAAACTGCACTGAGATACTGCAGGAACACGGCTACTGTATCCAACCATCTGTTGAGGTCATCCAGCATCGCTGTCAGCAAGCAGCCAACAATTGAAGCCGCAAGCAGTTCAATCAGAGCCACTGCTAGTGTTACTAGTGAAACTTATTTGTGGATCGGCGATATGGATGAAATCCTCTATTATAGTCTCTAATTTTACATCACAAAATTTGATGTAAAAACATACGAAGTTTCTGGAAAATTAATTGAGACTTTGTTAATAAAGGAATAATAGGACAGGAGTGTAGTTCATCCAGTGATTTAAAAATTTGACAGGTGAAGCAGAAGGTAGATCATCAAATTCATGCAAAAATCATTTCAACAATCATTATCATAAAGAAGTCCAGCTGATTAGATAAACAGAATGGAGGAGCTGCCTGACAGACTGGGATATAACTACCATAACTGCACATTTTATTTTAAAACACTGTACCATATAAAATGTAATTTCTCACACCAGAATGTTGAATTGGATACATACTCTGAGAGTGGCACTATGACACAATTCAATACCATGACAGTTTAAAAAAAAAAAAAGGAAATTCTTGTATTTGCTTTATTTATTCATTTTTTATTACAAATTTCTCATTATTATTATGCAGCTTTTTGGACAGCCATGACTCCAATCCAGAGTTACAAAATAAAATCAAAAAGGAGGCACACATTAAATGAAATTGATAACATTTAACTAACTGAACTCTGACTAATTGCATTACTTCAGTCTCAGCAGGGCTGGCAGCTAACAGACAAAGTAATATACTCTGTACCCCCACCACCAAGTCTTTGCTTACCAGGCCTGAGTAGATTAAGATTTATTCTCTCATGCTGTGCTGATTCTTGCCTTTATAAAAGTTACTATTACACGTGGACAGGCCATGGTGCTGACGTGGCAAGCTGGTCCCAATGTCCCTTAATGGCTGGATTTTACATTTTGTTGGCTGAGTGCTTGTCATAAAGAATAAGTTACCTAGCTAAAGCTCAGCGGCTGGGCCACATATTCATGAGTCTCTGTTATTTTGACATATTTTGTGAGTTAAGTGAAGGGAGTATTGTATTTAAGGCAGCGAATTGCAGCTGCAGGGTTTCCTTTTAAGTAATTCTGTCTTTCCTCTCACTCTCTCTCTTCCACAGGTTGAAATTTCAATCGAATCCCACTTTGAAATATTTATACCCACCACCTTCTAATGGCATTCTGACCAATATAACGCATGCCCTCATGAGTGTGCCAAAGTTTTATGTTCAAGTGAGTAACTACTGCTTCTCGCAAAACATTTTATTTTTCATCCAGTACCAGCACGTCTTTGATATGCAGATGTTGGTCATTGTGTGTATGCATTTCTAGTTGTGTGTCTTTTCAATCTTCCCCTGTATTCTTAGTTGCCTTTTTTGGAAAGTTGGAATTTGTGTAATAAATGCTAATTTGACAGATTTCTAGCCTTCAGATTCATATTGTAAAATGGAAATAAGATTCTGGAATAAGTGTCCCAGAGGTTTTTGAACTGCATCCAACCTCTTAAAGATCAAACAGCAAACATTTGCCTTTTAAATTTCAATTTGGGAACCAAGTATTAATAATAAACCATAAGTGGGAGGCATGAGTTATGGGTTTAACATTTCCCTGGGAGCCGCGCTGCCTGGATGTTCATTAGTGCTACTTCCAGTGGTAGCATCTTGGTGGTGCTAGTGTGTTGCAGAGAAACTCCGTTTATGCTCAGCCTCACCACTGGTATCTCACTTCAGCCTCAATCTCACCTTGATCCTGGTATTCTAAATGAAAATGCAGAAGCCTTGCAATCTGTTTTACATATGGAGTCCAGGTTACAGGCTGCCTGTTTGAGAGCAGCAGTATATTTATATTACCAGCTTCCACCCTGCTCCAGGTATGACTTTCTAGATGCAACTGTCACTGTTCTAATACTCATATCTTCAATTACACAGGTACTTCATCTGATGAACAAGATGAATTTACCATGTCCATTTGGCCCAGTCACTGCCAGACCACCCATGGTAAGCTCATATTGATGACTGTTGAATGATGAAGAGCAGGCTGATGGTTTAGACAGAGGTTATTTGACATTTAACAAGAAGACCTGTGTTGTTATAAGGTGGCCAGTATTTCATGTTAAAAAATCCACTTCAGACATGTTTTAAGATACATGAGAATACTGTATGTTGGAATTATGTGTTTTTTTCCACAAAAATGATTAATTAATTATTTAAATTACTTAAAATTGCACTTACTCCTTCATTGATCATTGAAAAATATAGAATCTATGAATTTACAAATATTTTCCGAACCAAACGTTTAACTGCTGGATACAAGATGTTTGACACTGACTACTTCCCTGAAAAGTCCATTCTTACACCTGTGTAAGCTGCATGTTGGATCATAAATGGTTTCCAAACTAGTTGTAATGTCACAAGATGTGGCTTGTATGAGCATGAACAGATAAAAATTCCACCTTCAGCAGATCAAAGTGAAAACAGCCTTCTAGTATATAACTCAGCACATAGGTCATTCTGCACAGTGAAGCTCAAACAACACGTTGAAAAATCAGTGTTGGTGGGAAGCAAGGCACTTACATTACAAAGGACCTGAAGCTTTTCAATTCAGTGTTTTGCCATTTTATTATACATCTTCTATAAAATGAGAGTTTGAAAAATGAGAGCTATATCTTCTAAGTGTGATGATGGTTCAAGAGTAGAGCACTATTGTTCCATTTTCAAGGCAAGCCTGAGTACTCAAGGAAGACATTGGACAAGTTTGTTTTCTTGCAGAATTTTAAATGAATCGATTCTGAAGTGTTAGAGCTGAAATGACTGGTTGATAAGTTGATCATTAAATGTTCTGCTTCCAACTTTTTTAAAGGTGAAGATGCATTTTTTTTACATGAGAGTAAAATGACCATATTAAAGGTCCCATATTTTACACTTTTCTGGTGTCTTATTTGAGGTGTTCATATCCATAACAAGATAGCATAACATCAATCATCCCTACTGTGATCATAAGTGAATCCCAGTTTTGTCCAGGGCTTACTAGGGAAAGACGCACATGAAATCATTTGAACACTGAGGTATTTGTAAGGTAAGCCATCTTGTGTTGTTTGCTCTAGTTTGAGCTCCTGCCACCTGCGCCACCCATCCCCATGCCCCCTCCCTTCCCTCCTGACTACCCCCCTTTACCAGAGGAGGCGATGGAGCTGTCCAGTGAAGAAGAGTCGGAGTATGAGAGTGGAGATGACGAAGACAAGGAGAGGTAAGGAGCAGATTATCACTCACAGTGGAGAGGACTCAACTCTGTATAGATATTTCTCCAGGCAATGGAATTGACTCTCATATTGATCTGCATCATACAGCCACTACCAGTTGAGCCAGCATGTTCATGTATCATTCATCAGTAATAATGTTGTTGGAAACACAAATGGCTTGAAGGGAAATGTTTTTAAATTCCAACGAGTGGGCAGTTTTTTTTTTTTGTCATCCATGGTAGAAATTTTTCCCTTATTCCCCATGCTTGCTTTATTTCAGGATTGTTCGTCTGATAGGCCTGGTCAACCAAGCATGCAAGAGACCCATGAGACCAAAAACAGCTTCAAAGAGAAAGAAGCCCAAGATCAAGGATCTACTCTATGCTCCCAAACCAGACTCTCAGAGGTACACCAAAGGCACTCATGCATGTCACAGTCCTCACGCATTGCTCATCTTGAGACAGCATTCATAGGCAGCTAAAAAAGGAGGACAAAAACCTCCAGACAATAAGTCTTCCTCATAAAGACAGCCTTGTGTGACTTTGAGACTTATTGTTTCAGTACCAAACACGCACACCCTCCCTTAATGACGGACCACAAACTCTGTTTCTGAACTATAAATACACACACACCTCAGTATCTCCTGGCCACAAACACGAGTTTGTGGGCTGGGAAATATCTCCCGTTGACATGAACAAGATATCCCAAATCATAAGCCGCTCAGGAGCCAGGTTTATTGTGGTTCCTCTTTAGAGGATGCTGTTGAGGGGAGTGCTGATTGTCTCTCCTGTCCTTAGTGCTCCAGTGCTGCAGCCCTGTGATGTGTTTGAGCAGCCCCACCCTGCCGGGCCAAAGAAAATTGAATTCCACATTTCGGTTCCAGAGGTAGCCTCAATGGTGGAAGGACGAGGGCCAGTTACAGTGGCACAGTCTGATGACGGCAGAGGTAAGGGCTCCCATTGACTCACTTCCTGCAATTGATTGTTAGTCTATTTATCATGTAGCCTTTCGATTACTATTTCGTGGTAGTGAAAAGGGCCCATCACAATTTTCCATAGCCCAAGTATATGCCTTTGAATTTCTTGTTTTGTTTAACCAAGTTTACAGTGAATTTATAGGGGTAGAAAACAGATAAAAGCAACCACTCAACTTCGGAGAGGCTTTAAATGGAGAATGTTTTGTATTTAACTTGAATTGAGTCTTAAAGGATTAAGCAGTTATCAAAATAATTAATCAACCAATTATTTTAGTGCTAATCCTAACTTGGTAGGAGATGCCTGGAGAGGCAGGGACATGTGCGTGTTCTGTTGGAGGGGAGAAAGCTAATTGTTGACCATCAGCTTGTTCTTATTTTTATTTTATCTTATTTTGTTTTGTTTTGTAAAAACAAGCTGCATTCAAGCAGTGGTGGGTTCGTTAATTTAATTATTCCATCATTTCTTTATCTAAGAATTACCAATGGAGGAGCTACATTTTATACATAATATGTGTATTGTTGCTAAGTATTGATCAATTTCTGACACTGGGTTATATTACAGTAATAAATAACTTTACCCACCAAAAGGACACAGGGTGTGGTCAGAAGTGTGCTCTGTTAAACCTATGACCACACCCAGCAGTGATGTCACTGGGCTATGGAGTCCGCCTGTACTTAAACCACTGGAGGGCAGCAAAAACAAGATGTTCAGGAAGTGACAATTTCCTCTTTGGACATTAGAAGAGAACATTCCTTATTTTTAGTGAGAGAGAGCTGCTCCACAGCCCACAGTCTTGTGCAATTCATACAAGATTGCGGCATAGTCTATCATAGGCATTGTAAAATATTGTGATTAAATATGGCTTACAAGTTACTGGCCAGTGTTTCCTTACAAGCTAAAGTAAATGGCCACTCTAATGGCCTAATGTAATGCCTACACAATAGAAAATGTTTGTTTTCTGCTTGTTTAATTTCATCATTATCTGATATTCCAATCCACTACTGTCAGGAGCATCACGAGCATACAAATGGTCCTAATTTATACTTTGCAACTGAGAGTGTTGTAAAACAGCAACGTCACGCTCTCTCCTAGGAGCAATCTCTCTCCTAATTAGAAATAACTGTAGGAAGCTTCATTAAGGATTCTCAAGTTCCACTCTGAGGCTGGAGTATTTTTAGCCAGAGGTTAACTTTACTAGGAGGAATTTTGAAGCACCAATCTGCATCAGCATCTGTCTTCATAAATACGGGCACTGAATGTGTCAATGAGATATAGGATCAGTGTAGTCTTTGTCAAGATATATTCTAAGTTATACTAACACCCTCTATCTGCAAACATGCCAGCCACTAACGAGATGTGTCTGTGGAGCAAATTTAGTTGTTTTGAGTGACAGATATAACAAAAATGCTACTTTTACAATTGGCCTGTCACAATAAATCAAACCAATACTATAATCTACAAATATAATGGAGGAATCCATCTAAACAGTTCTCTGCCACTGTAAGAACTTGATTGTTATTATAAATCATGCTTATTGTCACGTTGAAGCAGGAGGTGGTTTGATAGTTCTATTGACACAAGCAGGGTGAAGTCAGAGCTGAGTGTTACACAGCAGCATATCACAGCAGAAACTTGCACCAAAAAGGTTTTACCATTATCAGTATGAGGAAATGTCATTGGGGGTACAGCCTGTGTTACTTGTCAGCTGTGCTGTTCCCTGGTCACCTTATCTCCCTTCTCTCTAACTACAACTTCAGTCCCTGGCAAGCCCCTGAGCAGTAAAATAGATCTCAAAGTCAAACACAAAAGATTTCCTGAAGGCAGGGGAAAGATAAACTATGACAGGTGGCTTTTTGGATTAGTCTTGTTTTGGGGAAGTGGGGGTGTGGGATCCGATAAACAAGCTATTTAAATGAAAAGGGGAGGTGGGGGACAGATAAGGAGGAGGATAATTTTGAAAGCAGTGATCTAGTTCTCTGCTGAGAGTGTATCAGAAAAGCTCCCCAACAATTCTTGCTCCAGTGCACACACACATACACCTTATGTGAATGACAAGCTTTTTTTTCCCTCCTCGGATTTGTACAGGCTCACTGCTCTTAGTAATTCCATCTACGACGTGTATGTGCGCATGCATGCACTCCTCAAAGTCTGCCAGAGTTATCCCTCTCACTGCCTTTCAAACTTGTGTTTGTAAAACAGGGATGGATTTGATTTGATTACAGTTCTTTATTTGACATAGACTGTCTGTGCTCATAGCTCACTCTTGAGACCATCTTCTTTCAATTATTTCTGCAGTCAAGTCTCACTTTTTTAACATTATTTCTGTATTTATTCCATTAAACTGATGAAGACGTCATCATTTGCAGCTCAGTTTATAATGATTCCATGTTTAGAAATGTTAAACATCAATGTGTTAAACTAATTATGACCAAGAGGATTTGCTTCCACTCTACCATCCTGAGCTTGTTTTGTTTACTGAAGAGGATAAACATTGTGGAAGTGATTATTTCACCATCTGCTATTGTTAGAAACTTTGAAAAGTTCCATCTGTATTCGTGTCAGAGGTAGTGTCCTCATCCTGATCAAGCAACTCAGCTGATTTCCCACTAAAGCTAGCTCAGCAGCACTTAAAATAAAATGCATTATAACTGCTGGGAATAGTGTTCGGTGTGTTACTAATTGGTTCTTTAACATCTTCTATGACCCCTCAGAAGTGGATGAGAAGGAGGCTGCTCCCTCTCTCATTGATGAGAGGGAAGTCGCTGAAGGTTTTGGGAAGCTCTACCCCAGCACCCAGGAGTCCCAACAGCAAGAGGAGCACAGCGACAACGAGCAGGATCTCACCTCAGGCGTCATCTCCAGAAAGGAGCTGGAGAAAGGACGTCTCTCAAGAGATGGTAAGTATAACCTGTACGGACAGCACAGTGGCTCAGTGGTTAGCACTGTCATCTCACCGCAAGGAAGGTCCTCAGCTTGAACATGAACAAAACTGTGCATGAACTGGTGATCAGAGACAGGAAAATCAAAAAAACTAGATCTTAGAAGTTTTCAAAACAAATAAACACTGTTAGTCAACACTTCAAGTTTCAGGTTACCGAAGAGCTTATCGTGATAACGTTCACTTTTTCATGAAAGCAAATGCTTTTTGGCATTTTCCGCTTTAAACAGCTGTAACATCCTTATTCCCTGTCCTCTGTGTAGAAGTGATGTAAGAAGAATGGAAGCAGCAACAGTGGTTTGTTTGAAATGCATATTGGAAACATTTGGCAGTTAGTGTGAGCACTGAGGGGCATCAGACTTGAAAAAGGAAAGTGATAGATCCCCCGGAGGAAGAGGAGCTGGTACTAAACATTTAACATCAGCATTAGCTTTCTGGTATTTAAAATCACAATAAGGACTGAGCAGAGATGGGGAATAGCCGTTTGTCTTTCAGAATGGTAGATTCTGTTGGTAATCAGCTGCTGCCTATCTCCAGTGTCTTTATTAGTATTTTCCCAACTTTGAGTGGAGAACATCAAAGCAATGACCACCTGTCACCCGTGGTGTCACCAACCCTCAAAACAGTCATGGATTATTACTACAGACCATGTTCAGAGAGAAATAAATGTAAACCTAACAGGAGCATTTGTCTTGACACAGTGTCATCAGAATCCGCTGTGTCTGTAAATGTTTCAGCCTCCTTGATATCCACTAACAGGCCAAATAATATAAACCTCAAAAGAAACTGGTTCCATGCAGATGGACATTACAAAAAAAATCCCAAAAAAGGATTAATTAATTGAATTAATTCTCAACTTACTCTAGATGACCTGGGTTTGTATGAGGTAGTCATGCACAGCCAGTGTATTACCTGCAGTAGTTTCTTATCAGCACGCTGCCAGTTTTGAGAGGCGGCCAGGAGAACCGTTACACTAGCAGAGCGATGTGTAGCTGTGCACGGGGGCCAGCAGAAATAACAGCGGCGTAACACAGTACATTGACGAAGCATGACTACCTCACACAACTCTAGGTCAAATAACCCAAACTATCCCTTTAAAGCCAAACCACTCCCCAAACATCCCCAAAAACTATAGGGCCTACTATCTCAGTAGCAGAAGCTGGGACAGAGTTTAATTTTTAACCACCTGCATTAAGTTGTTGCCTGTTGTAATTGTTATGTCAGGTAACTTGGACACAAAATTTCAAAGATGATGTGTTAACAAATCTACTTGCAGACTCTCTGAGAAAGGCTGATCGAGATAAAAACCTGTCTTTGCATTTTCAGTCTTGCATTCAAATAGGAGATGATGACGACTAAAACAAGACTAAAAGGAGAGGGATTAATCGATTTACATTTTTTAGGTGACCAGAAACAGAATACATTAACATGAATGCTAAAGTTGTTTGGAGTCTGCTGGATATGTAATTAAGCAACTGTTTGCTAACAAGTTTAACAAGTTTCCAATACCAACTTTTAAAGTTTGGTTGCATGTTTAAGCATGTTAAAGTCATTGGCATTTCAGTGATACAAACATTAAAAGATCTTTTAGGTGCAACAATCAATGATTAATATTTACACATCCATTAATATTTACTACATGTTAGAAAAGAATTAATAGGTATTTGCAATTACGATTACATGTGTGAAAACAAATGGTTTAATTGGTGCTTTGGTTTTTAAATTCCATCTCTGAAACCTTTCACCACCTGAGTTCACATTAGAGTCATGTTTCTAAAATGTAAATCTAACAATCAAAATAACCTGGAGAAGCATCAAGCTGCCAGTTCATGAGAAAATCCAAATTTCCCTGAATAATGAAACCTCCACATTTGCAATTTCAGTCAACCACAGTTGTGTTGTTGGTGAGCAAGAGTTATGTGCAGTGTTGGTATTTGTTCTTCCTTCCGCAGACACACATGTTTTCCACACGTTTTCCACACAAATACAGTACAGAGCAGCTGAAAGGAATGGGCTGGCCGAGATGAATAACTATTGCTTTAATGCTTCTGTGCATCTCTTTGCCTGGTTCTTCAGTCCACTCTGTCTTAAATAAAACACTGAGTGGATGATACTGAGTTGGAATGACTTGTAGGCAGTTCTGTGATCCTTTGTACCTGGTTTTGAAATGCAACTTGTATCAAGTTTTTTTTCCTTTTTTTTTCTTCCTTTTTTCCTTCTTTCCTTTAAAACAGAGATGAAAAGGATGTCTGTGTTTAAAAATTATGAACCTGGTGAGCCAACCTGCAGACTGTACGTGAAGAATATTGCAAAGCAAGTGGAAGAGAAAGTAGGTGCATTTATAGAACTTGACCCACTTGTGTGTGTGTGTGTCTGTGTGTGTGTGTGTGTTTGGTTTACTGGAAATAATGCTTATTCTGGAGTTTTTTATTTATTGCTTAAATTCATTATATGTCATCAGAATTCTGTTTATTAAACGTTGAAGTTAGATTTTGCAATGAGATGTAAATCCCAAGATCCTACGAGCTCCCTGCATAAACAGTAGCATCAACAATGTGTTCATTTCATTTTTCCCCAATATGCCTTATATTTGTCTTCCAGGAACTGAAGTACATCTACGGGAGATACATCGACCCTTTGTTAGAAGCCGAGAGAAACATGTATGTAAACAGCACAGTCACAGAGTCACAGTTGCATCTTGACTTTACTTCTTGACATGGTTTGCATGTCACTTCATCCTATCTTCCCTTCTTGAGCTATTTTCGACTTAAGCAATTTGTCACTTTCTCTTGAGAGGGGTTAGTAATTCATGCTGACTGTGTGTTGTGTTATTAATAAGTACCCAACCTGACGCAGAGATCATGAGGGATACGTTATGTTGGTGCATCAGCAGTACTTCAAATGAATATTCCACCTGAGTCATCAAACCAAGCTTATGTTGAGTAGACGGCCAGACTCTGAACTCAGGTGTAGGTGATAAAGAAGAGGGTGCAAATCTCCCAGAGAAACAGCGTGCCTGTCTAAATTATGGCTTTTTTTGTTTAAGCGTTCCTACAGTTAATGTTTTGATCATTAAACATGCTATGCAAGTAAATACTTTTAAAATGCTCTTAGAAATCCTAACCTCTGTGTGATTTCAAGTATCCTATCTTGACCCCTAAATCTGCAGGTTTTCATGTCACCCAAACACAACAGCAGACCTTACAGAGCAGTTTGGTAAAGAGTTGCAATGATATGCCAAATGTGTGATTCAATAGGTTTTTGTCTCACAGTTTTTGATACAGTATGGAAAACAAGCAAATGTGAAGGATAAAATTTAACTTAATTTATTGAGAAAAAAAAAAAAGAAAAGAAATATTAAGAAGTACAACTTAACAATAATGCATCACACAATTCCCACCATTCATGCTGTAAAAGCTGATACACTGAAATCTTCATATATGGTCAGTAAGCAGTCTAAATGGAAAAATGTGATGGAACCTCCTAATTGCTCTTCACATGCCTTATGTCCCTGTTTTCAACTGTTGAGTGTCCTCTCACATCTGCAGGCAAAAACAGACCTGCTGCATTGCTTATTGCTCTGGCCTGTTCCAACAGTGATGTTGCAAAGTAGTTTTGGATTTAGTCATTTCCAGATTTAATGTTACCTGACAATGCTGAAACTGTTCTTGTCCAGTAATAATATCTTATAATGTACTGGAAAATTATATTTCTTCCCAATGAAATCTAAATATTAGCTTTGAGAGCATCTTTAAACTCTCCATGTTAACCTGGGTATATTTTCCTCTGTGTTCCAGCCTCCATCCAGACCTTTTATTCTTGCTGATAAAAGTGATGGTTGGGGGCTGTGTGGTAGCAAAGTTAACAAGGACTTTATGTGGCATCTTACCTTTGTTGTGATATCCCATTGTAAATATCAGCAGAATACACATCACAGCTGCTGTCATTCACCTGTATATGTAGTCAGATAACATTATGATCATGGAATATAGGTTTTTTTGTTTCTCCAACAGTGAATGACTGCTGGTTAACACGTAGTATTTAATCACTGTTTCATATTTGTTCCATTTAGAAACAACAGAAACAGCCTAGTGAAAAGAAGGCAAAGAAGAAGAGATAAAGCTTATTTTCTGTTCAGCTGTTTTACTCTGGGGATAAGTCTCTACTGAAACTACCTGGAAACACTAGTGTGGACGCAAGTCACACAAAAACAACATTTTGAAAATTATCTTGGTGTAGTCTGTCAACCATCACACTGCCCAAGCTTTCTAGGTGGGGACTGCACTTCTGAATTTATGTTCTGAGTTGGTTTGAATTTGCACTTGAGTTATATGGTTCCACACACTGAACAGCCACAATATGATTTTGACTCAGTGTGATAATGATGTGCCTCCGCTTTACTTTTTCCCTCAGGTTTGACATTGTGTTAATGAAGGAGGGGCGGATGAAAGGCCAGGCCTTCGTAGGACTCCCCAGTGAGCGGAGTGCAGAGAAAGCCCTGCGGGAGACCAACGGCTACGTTCTTTATGACAAACCCCTCGTCGTTGTATCCTTTCATTCCCTCTCACAATATGAAACAAGGATGAGGGTTTATGAGAAGTGGTGGAAAACCAGGTTTTATGTTTATTTGGTGGGGTTTGATTATTTGGTTTGTACAGTTGGAGACCTAACTGTTTATAAATATCACTTCTTTTACTGGTAAAAATATTGTTAATTATCAGAAGATGTAACCAAACTGGCAGAATTTCTGAGAGATCTGTCTTATGCGGAAAATGCTTACCACCAAGTTTTAGCACTTACATTATACTGATGAAAAAGTGATGGAGATAAAATAGAATTGGAACTGGCCATTGCACAGAATTGCAGATAACTAAATACACATAAAATGGCATGCTTTATTAGCTTTATTAAATGGACACTTCCCTTCACAGATGTGTGGTTGGCTTTGTCCCTCAGTGCCTTCAGGAAGATGAGGACTAATTTCTGGCAGCCCAGAACCACCACCTGCTCTTCCTCATCTCACACCAATAACTGCACATGGACTTTTGAACTCCGTTGTCTAATGGAACAAGGCTATTGATTTCGATGGTGTTTTAATGTGCACCCCATATCCAGTTAGCTTGGCAACGGCGTATTGAGTGTTTGAGTTTAAAGAATGAACAGAAATGTCTCCACTGCAAGTTACTTGAAGGTGTTGGCCTGTAGACAAGGTGGCAGCACTGACTGCAGTTCATCCACCAACAACTCCTGTGTTGGATTATGTTCAAAACTAAAATAGAATTGTTCTTTAGTCACCATACAGCCATTTAAGAGGTGGCTTGGAGTATTGAAATGTGACTGTGTTTTGCTAACTGGAGGGTGGTTATGGTGGTTTTTACATTTTTAGGTTTTGTATGTTGGATGCACAACACTCTTTGTCTTGATACACTGTGTATCAATGAGATAAAACTGCTAGATTGTGTGCATGCATCGTTTCCTGTCAATCTCTCACAGGAAGGTAGGCAATCTGAAACCAGTGCAGGAATGGTGAACTCTGACACTACCAATAAAAAATACTATATAAATGCAAACACATTAAATGGCTATTTCAGAAAAATGATATCAGACCAGAGGCTGGATTTCTTAGATTTTATTAAAACAGGTTTGACAACTGTGCAGGTCCCAGCAGAAGGTGTTTTCTGCATTGTGCAAGACCCAGTTAAGATTCTCTTTCCTAAATATAGTTTAAACAGCAGTACAGTGACAGAGCCTCAGACGTCCGGCCCCTCCCCTGTTCTTTAACCTCTCACATGGATGAGCAATTTTAGCAATCTGTGTGAATGACAGTAGCTGTCACCGACGAAGTGAGCCAACCTCAGGAAGGCAAGAGACTCAAAGTCTTACAAGGTCCATTTTTGTCTTCTGGCATTTATGAGCAAACAGCTGCGACCTTGAGTTCATATGAGGTGGCCAGTGTCACAGGGAAGAGGGTCCCTGTGGCTGAAAGCTGCTGCATACAGCTCTGAGAGTGAAACATGAGTTTAAATGATCAGTCTGCGCTTATAAATGATCAGTCTGTCAACCTGTGCTGAAAGCCAGTTTCGGTGTATATTTTCTGTGGTGCACCTGATGCATTATTTTTATAGAAAGAAAGTTATACGGTTGTTGAAAATACATTTATAATTGTAGGAATTTAGTAACGGGACCATTCATGTTCTTGCCTGAAAACGAGGTCCTACATCATGTGAGGATAAACTTTGACCTGTTTAATGAAAATGCCAACAGCCTTAACTCTAAATCCACAGCAATTTGCCCGATCTGCAAGGCCAAAACAAGACAGCACAGATACCAAGAGAGGTCCAAAGCAGCGATGAACTCAACAGGTGAGTAAGACAGTAGATGTGCCAAAAGTTACCAATGAAAAGAGTATTATTTTTTTCAGTATGTCACAGTGTTTGTCATCTGTATGTATAGAACAACCCTAATATAATTTTAATGGTGTTTTCTTTTACATTTGTGTTTACACTTTAAGTATTCAAGATACCAAGGTTTGATACTGTGGCCCAGCAGAACCACTTGTATCCTTATTCTGGAATATCCTTTGGGAAAAACAAAAGAAAATGGGGGCAGTTTATTAGAAGTTATTGTGGCACAATTGGAACTTAAAAACAACCGGATCAGTATTGTAGTCTAAAAGACTGAGTACCACGCATTGTTTCCGAGGCTTATTGTATTGTATTGTATTGATTAGTGTAGACTCTAAACCTGTGCTATTTTGGAGTCTCTAAAACTTCTCTTTACAATGTTCTCTATCTTGTTTGGCTGAATTTCAGGTGATGGTCGTCAGATGTCGTCTTCTTGTTTAAATAAAGTATTTTTATTAAAATAACTCTTGTCATGTTTTCTGTCTGTCACAGCCCCACACATATGTGTTATCTTTAATCCCAAACTTAAAGTCCTAACAGCAGAGTAAATACAGACTGGGGAAGGTATATGAGATCTAGATTGTCTCTGCAGCAGATGGTAGGCTGTCAACACACAAACCCACAGTCCTGAAGAGACGGCAAACAAACCTAACAGACTGCAGCCTGTGGGAAATTGCTGGGACTGGGTTAGCCTACCTTTACAATCCCTGGCTGGCCCCATCTGTGTGATTATTGAGAGTAAACACTGGTGGATGAACTTCCCTCAGCATCATATCTGAAGACTTGGAAATCAAATTGGTTTTTGTGCTCTTTAGGTGTAAGCGGTGCTGGATGTGTACAGGTTGCATGTCAGTCAGAGCTAAATTAAAGTTTGTTATGAAGAGTTCTGAAGAGGGGGAAAACTTCAAATTACTGTAGTGAGTGGCTGCCCAGATGTTTTCTGGTTTGATTCGCTTTTACACCACTTTGGTGGTTTGACGACACATGTAAAAGCAGCCCATCGTTTTCTATAATGCATCAGGTCCTTACAATGGAAATGTGTATCGGTCCATGTTTTAGCCAGGGCTGAAAAAGCTCCTGTTTTTGTGTGTGTGAGCCTCAGACGAACCATAGTGGTGTAAGTCTGTCTTTTTCTAAAATAGGGGTGATGAAGCTTGCTGCTACACCTACAGTACCAACTTTCAGAGGTTTTTATTTTATTTTTGTGCCAGGACAGTTATACAGTGCACAGACAATGTGTGGAAACCCTCAGAGAGAGGAAGGACACAGCACGTTAAAAACACAGATTTATTAGATGAATAAATGATTCATACAAGAACGGCATTGATATGTCTTGTTTCCTCTGTTTAGTGTCCACCTGCAGAGAGTAAAAGACCAGACAGATTCAGTGACTAGGTGTCTGTCACTAAATTGTAAATACTTAAATTGAAGGTGACAGTAGCTTTGCAGCTTAATTTTATTGTTTGCAAATCCATTTGTATTGGTAGGTGCAACCATGGTACTTTGCTAGATTAAAATTCAGGAAAAAAAAAATCTGAAATGTAGATTTAAGAGACAAAATAGGAAAGAAATATTTTTTTTCAAATTTGCAATGGAATATTATTAGATTGGAAATTTCATATGTAAATTCTGGGGCTTAAAGTTTTGTAGAAAATTTTGATTTTGACAAACTTTTGTTGAATGTCAAAGTCAAAGCTCCAAATTTCACAAATTGGATGTCTTACCCTTTATTTTATCTCAGTTCATCATCTCATTATGCATCAGTCTGTCTCAAGCTTCTCTGAACCACTAAACTAAACTAACTGACTGAACCCATTCAGAACACTATGTAAATCATGTTACTGCGATGAAATATGTCAGGAAGCAGCCATGACACCACAGGCTATTTCATTAATTGATAAGCAAGAACATTGTCACAAGTCTTGTCATGCTGCCTCCTTTCTTATGTTCAGATTTCACAGAATGCAAAAGTGAAGTTTAATTTTGAAAAAGGCATGTTGCACTATAAAAACCTGAAAATGATTTGAATAAGCAACCAACCGTTTGCTTGTTTTCTGTGCACACCTCCTCTCTCTCCTCTGTAATGCAGATCTTTCAGTGAAAAACTTAATTCCATACACTGCTGCCACTAACCAATCATGAATCAGAAATATGGAATTGTGTGATGATGAACATGAACATGCACATGTACCATAGTCCTGTTTCATCACATCCACCCTCTAATGTAGCCACCAGTTGATTTGATAGGGGCTGTAATCTGCAGATGCAGCAATGACAGGCTAATGGGATGTGATTGACCTCAGTATCCTCCAGAGGGGAAAATCTCCATAATTAAACAATTATTTAAGCTTCCTTTAATTGCAATTTAAGCACTAAGGGTGCCACTGTGTATTTTGTAATCATAAACGTCATCATTAACCTTTTATGAAGCTGTTTACATGCAACTTTAATCCATTGATTTACTGTACTGGTTTATAGAAACAGGCAGCCTGATATAGGTGCAGGAAACGTTCCAGGTTGTTTCCTGTGAAGTGTGAAATCCATTGTAATCCTCCAGATTCTATGTTTGTGTAACTTTGCTGTGAAATCGGTTGTAGCTCATTAGGTCTCAGCCCTGCTCATGAGTCCAGCCTCTCTCCGGTTAAGATCCAGGCACATGGGGGTTATTAATCACATGTGCTCGTCTGCTTCGACCTACAGCTCATACGTCAACGCCAGTGTGAGGGAGGAGTTCCCATCTGTGCCCTACTCTGCCCGCCATCTCAACGATGACAAATGTGCCACCCGCAGTGGAAATATTGAGAGTTACCAGGACATTTATCAGGTAACATTTGAGCAATATGAAAGATAACCTTTTGTAAGTGGACGCAGATAAAGATGTATGATCTCCCTTTCCTCTGCACAGGCTCCATCTCTATGTAATACTGCAGTTACCCAGAAGTAAAATCATGATAATATGTTTCTCATTTTGGGTTCAACCAGGTGTGCAGTCTGTTTGCTGGATGGAACCTGTGGATTGCTGGGTATATGTACACAGTGTTGGACATTAAGTGTTGCAGGACGAGAGCACATGTGGCCTGTTTTTCTGGTCACTCTGTATGGATCAACATTCATTTGCACTGCATTATCTTGTTAAAACTCAAGGCAACATCAACATGCCTCAGGCTAAAAAGTATCTCCAGACACCTCTGGTGACAACACCGATATCTGAAATTGTCTGTGGGCTTCTGTGCAGTATTGCCAAGGTTTTGTTTGGTGCAATGCCACCTTCTGTTTTACTGAAACTCTGTCAGTCAGTCAGTCAGTCAGTCAGTCAGTCAGTCAGTCAGTCAGTCAGTCAGTCAGTCTATTCCCCATGCCACTGCACACAGGGCTACCATGATCCTGTCTGCTGTGTTGCTTTGGGTTTAGCTGTGCTGGTAAAGCGGTGGTTTTGCGTTGAATCAGGGACAAATGTTCAGTGAGAGAGATGTCAACAAATTGACCATTTAAAGCAATGGTCATGCAGATAGAAATGGAGATGAAGGCTGTTTTCTTTGAGGGAGCTCTGAAAAAATCCAAGCAACAACGATGACTCTGCTTTACAGATAAATACATGAGCCTTAACTTTTTGTTAAATTAAATAAACTGAAGTATGAGGCTGGAGTGGTAGAAGGAGCGTTGGCCTATCAGTGGAGTAATACAATTGGCACGCTGTGATGGCTTCACTTCACACCTGCATGAATATAATTGGACATTATGAGTCAGCTGTGAATGAATCAGTGACTATAAATCGTGAATGAAACAGTTGATGCCAATCCGATCATTTCAGTGCGACTTCAGTGCTCTGCTTGAACTAATGCAATGTTTAATTTCAATGCCTTAAGAGTCTCAGTTTTGTGCTAGATGGGTCTCAGTTCATCATAAATGATGTCCTTTTCTCAGTCTGTTGGGGAATTATTGACTAACACTATCACTTTATGAATGGCCTGCTCCTGGTCGTGTGTGAGGTCAACTAGCCGAAGCAAAAGTTAAAAAAAAAAAATGGTTTAAAATTATTTTAACCAATGGTGCTGTTCAGCAAGAGCATTTTATTAAATGTAGACCAAAGGTTTTAACATCATTTGTTACTTGCTCAGACCAAATTAGCATGTAATTGCTTTTTTACTGCATGTTGGACTGTGATGCAAAATTTATGAAGTTGATGTAAAAAAAAATGTCTGATTCATCCAAACTTCTGCTTGTGTTTGTTTTACTAGATGACATACAGTATGAACCCAGTGTTTTAAAACGCTTAATGAGGTGTAATTTTACCTCAGAGATATTCATATTATTTATCAAAAAAACTTTCAGTTCACATTTGTATGTAATTTGGCACAGACAGAAGATTTGAAACGAAGGGGTAATTTCAGTTACTTTGTGCCAAAAACACATACAAGCAACTAATGAATGTATTTTTCTCAATCCTTGTTTTAACATGCACTTTAATGGGCTTAATTTGTCAGATAGAAATCGATTTGAATTTGAAAAAGGCCATTAAAACCAACTGTTCTCTACTGTGGAAATTTTATCACCACTGAAATATCCATCACATACTAACCTATTACATATCAGGTGATAATTATTTCTCAGTAAGATATACTGCATGACACCACTGTATATTTTGCCATTTGCGACTGAGCCCAAGCCAAGAACATTATTTTAAGTTAAGAGCAAACCAGTAAGATGCAGCTACCACTTGGACTGTAATGGTACAGTCATTTTTTAAAGGAGGCACGCCACTCCGGAGGTTGAAAATGAATAAAAAACAAAACAAAAAACAGAACAATTTTTTTGTTCTGTTTTTTGTTTTGTTTTTAAAAATTGTCAGTCTTGTTGACAAGCCCAATAAGGGCAAAATCAAATGCTCCTTGCTTCTGACACTGAATTAAAGATGGATAACTAAAGCACCACAGTTGCATAACCTGGGCTGACATTTTAATGGAAACATCTTTCAAAGCCTTGGTTTAAAAAATACACAGTCTTTCTGAATGTCAGTGTATTGTTGCTGTTCACTTGCAGTGAGTGATGAGCTGGAGCTGCTTTGTCCAGTTTTGTTTAATAGCAATCAAATGTATTTTAACCAATTAAACGGTGAGCAGTGCAGTAAAATGGAGATGCAATATATTTTGTCAAGTTTGGCACCATTTTCACCACAAGCAGTGTTTTCTTTTTTGGCAACCCTTCCTTCCCCTGTGCCCAAAAATCCAAAATCATTTGCCCCTTGGCATTTTATTACTGACAAAGATTAATAGATTGACTGTACAAAGAATGACCACATTAAGACCACTGTATTAAGATGGGGATTCTGTCCCCCGGGTTCTTGGCTCCAATCTAGAGAAAATAACATCACCATGATATCTTGTTTTAAATCTCTAAATCTA